ATATTTTGAATTTGGTTAAGATTAGTAATCTTCCTCCGCGGTCCCTTCTGCAATTTTTACTTACGACCTCGATTTACATGAGTCTGTCACCGAAATCTTAATAGAATATAAATAAGTTAACAAGTCTCTCTGCTGGTTTCTTTAAAGAAAGATTTTATTGATGCGTCGAAATTAAGATCTTAAATTTAAATTAATCGTTTGATCATACTAATCAAGTAATGATAATTAAAACAAGGGCAAGTAATATACACAATTTGACGGTTATTGTAACCATAATGTATATAGTCAATTTGTAAATATATTAGTCTAAGTTACTTAATGTTGTTACCTAAATATATAGATAATTTGCTGATAAGGTATATTATCGTGTAAGAGTTAGGATATCACTAATAAATTTTTATGATCTCCCACTTCCTATTAGATAATATTCGTTATTATCATTATCTTTTTTCATGATTATTTACTTATCTGTTTTATAAAATTCACTATTATCATAATTCATATGATTAATGAAACTCAGATAAATAATTCAGCTTACACGTAAATTTTAGAAAAAGTTAACTAAACATCCTATTACTTGCAAATTTTACGAGATTTTTTTTAGATATTTGATCGTAACTGGACCTACTAAATATCATCATATGGATCTCGATTAATCAAATAATCTTTTATTAAAATGCCGTCTTAATGATATTATTTGTTGCTATTTGCAAAGTATTTAACCTCAAGGTCACTTTTTGTTTCCATCTATAGCATAATTATTAAAATCATATTAATCATTGAATCGATAATGATATCAATTCACTTATTACATCATATAAATCATAGTTTTATTAGTCAAATTATTAGCTCAAAAATATACGTAATAAAGAAATAATAAACATTGTACCATTTAAAATAATAATTTTTAATAGTATTTAAATTTTGTGCTAAACATTCTAAATTTATTATTTATTGATTATTAGAACTTCCGATCTAAACTTATTCTGGGTTGAAAACTTTTTTTTGTCGTAAGAATACTTTCATAAAAATCACTTCGATTGTTTTTTTTTTTTTTTTTCTTCTTTAGAAGAATATTTGCCACTTTGCTTGGTTGACTTGGACCACAAGAGTGTTATAATTTGTGAAAAAAGACAAGCAAAATGAAAATTAATCAATTACAAAGATTCTTGAACCTTGATTCATTCCTTGTGAGGATAACTATAAATCTAATTATGGTTCCTATGTTCTTGTTTAGAAATGAATAAAAGTAACAAAGGATTCCCACATTATGATTCTATAATCATCATCTTCTTCTTTATATATATATATATATAAACAAGAAAGTTGGAGGAGGAAGAGATGGGAAATTTTGGAAGGTGTATTCAAGTGTAGGTCACCCACAAAACCATATTTAGGAAAGCTGGTCCATGCAAGTTGGGTCCAGATTGTATAGGTTGTTTGTTTGTTTATATCAAGTTTTCATATTGAAGTTATTGAAGTCTGGTCTTCTCCTCTTTTGCTCTACTCTCTGCAACTATTCTTACGAGTTGGACTCATAATTAACTCTTTCCCCTCCAAGATTTCAAACTTACTGTTCGCTTCCTTCTAAAGTTCATATGTTTAGGATCCTAGCCAATTGAAAATGATAACAAAAGTAAAGTATTAATGGGTTGTGACTTGTGAATTATATATATATATATATATGAATTTTGATGTATTGTTTTTTGAAAAAGAAAAAGAAAAGAGTGAAAAAGAGAATGTAAGATGATGAGATTACAATAACTAGGGTTGAGAGAGGAGTAGGAATAGGCAATAAATTCAGGTTTCCCTATTTCTGAAAGCCTCCACCAACAATAAAAAAGGAAAATGGGAGAGACAACGACACTTGCTTCCTATCCTTACCCATCATTTATATATATATATATATATATGCCTCGATGTACATATATTGTTTATGTGTAAGCACATGCTGCTATACCACAACATGTCCTGTTCCAACCTTACATGAATTCCACAACTACACTGTGTCTTCTCTAATCAGCCCTCTTTACCCCACCACTCCACTCCACTCCACTCCATGTATACATACATCCCCTGTACATATATGTATATGCATGTTTTCTCATTCATCTCTGATGATGCACTGGATTGTTTCACATGATGGGCCTTCCTATGACTAGTCTCAATCTCCCTTAACAAGGGCTGAATCTCCTCTCTGTATATAGATCATATGTCATATATATATATATATGTAATTATATTTGATTGATAATGTAAACGTTTTGGATTAATTTGAATGAAAATGGAGATGCATTTGGGTGTGACAGATTCATTAATTTTACTGGGGAAGGAGGAAGAAAGGAATGTGACCTGACAGGAGCTGTTTTGTTGGGGTGTTGATGGCATGGCATGTGGCATTCATGAAAAGGGTATTATCCCAATATGTTGTTTAACACAAACAAATTTCCAAGACACTCAAACAAAAAGCCCTTCTTCTTTTTCTTCAGCTTTTTAAAATATTATATATATATATATATATATATACAGAGACATATGATGGATCATACGACATGTAAAATCAGAAAAGAAGAAAAAGAAAGAATAGCCAATTCACCAAAAACAAGTAAGACAAGAGGGTCAGAGAAGAGAGTCTCCATTCATGATAAATAGCAATTTGAAGCTGACTAATGAATTATATATTGCATAGATACATGAAAAAACTAAAAAAACCCAAGAAGTGAATATGCATTTGGGTCTGGTTTATGTTGATTTTTGAATTGAAATTAAGTAAGAGTGATTCAAAAAATAGACTTTAGGTTTAAAAAAAAAGGGAGCCCAGAGGAAACGACCACCCACCGACAGTAGTAGGCCCAGAGAAATGGTGCTGGTTTTAAAAGGAGAGTTAAGGGAGGAGCGTAGGGATGGGGCCTCGGGAAGGGTCATAAGCTCCTGGAAATGAGGACAGTGTCCCTTTGAGCCCACCCCACCTTGTGTAAACATGCTGGCAAGGCCTAAGACCAGCTTTCAATTACCCCACACTCCTGGTTGGACTGATGGGGATGCCTTTGTGCCCATCTCCACAACACTATGCTCACTAACCCATAAAACCGACATAGATAAAGACCACTCCTTTTAACATTTTGGGGCTACCCTAAAACCCCTTTTGCTCCCTTCAAACCCCCTCACTTCCACTCCACTTATCCCTTCTCATGGCTTCATAGAGTTCACAAATCAATTCAGATTTTGCCCCTTAATGATAACCCAGAAAGAGAAACTACCTCAAGAGTATATTCCTGTTACCATATATGAATTAGTTTGTGCCATGTGGCCCTTAATTTCTTGTTGGATAAATCTTTTCAAATTATTATTGTTCCTCCATACCCAAATAAGTATAGATACACTTTTGGATCAACTTTTAACACTAATACAAATCTTTCTTTGAACTTAATCTCTCTTTTTTGTGAAACAAAAAGTACAACATTCTACATAGTTTGGTAAGCTAAAGAGATTTAGTAGGAGGCACTGCGATTTTTCTAGGTGGCATCTTCCTTGGCCCAGCCCATTCACCTAAAAGACTGTTGCGGTACGGGCATTTAATCTTTGATCTTTTCTCTTTCCCCCTTAGGAACCTGCGTTGATTATGCCGGACAAATTCTGTAGTATATTTTGGTGAGTTCAATCATAAACATGGAATATATTTGTGCATATATATGTCAACATAATTATTTTTTTTTACGAGAAACAAGTTTAAACCGGCAATCAATAGTCATCTCCCTTTACCTCACATGTATGTCTATATAAACATTCTCATCTTCGTAATAATAATTATGACACAAATCCAACATTCTACATATACCTAACATTTGATCATCATTTTCATTGATAGGTTTATTCGGGGTGTGCAGGAACTTTGCTGATTAGTACCTTCTGGGTTTCTGCACTTGTGTACTGGCAATTCTCCCCACAGACAATTTCTGTTTTTAAATAGAACGTGAAGAAAGACAGAGAATCCATACCATGCCATGAGAACCCTTCAGTCTCAACCGACCAGACCCTATAGAAAATCAAGGCTTATATCAAATTCAACTAGAGTTTCGTGAGGAATTTCAATACCTTCAAAATCATTTTGGTCATTGCCAGCCTATGGTGTAAAACTTTCTGACAGCAAATAATACTGCCAATTCGCTTGGTGTTTTCAGTAGTAGTAGTAATGATCTCTCTCAACCATATTTAGTTTTCCATTTTCATTCAGGACGAGACTTTTCCATCCACAAAGTAACTCGCTAGTTCAAGTTTATAAAACTAAAATATTTTGTTGATTGAAAGTACACCAGATTGAATACCACAAAGTAACACCCAAAAAAAAGGAAAACACCCAAAAACCTAAAACTATCACGGTCGACATTTCTCACCCCTATCCAAACCAAAAACCTCCCACATGTCGAAATTTATAGTGCATATTAAATGGAAACATAAGCTCAAAGGTTGAACTTGAACTCCTTGATGTTTTATAAAGTCTCCAGCCTCTACTCAAATGCATCATCATCATCATCGGGAAGAGGCTGACTGGCTGCTGCAGCAAGCTCAGCTTCGTGCCTGGAAGAAAACAATCCAACACCAAATTATGGAACTGGAATACCAACTATAAACAAGGTTGATGTAAAAACTGCAGTTTATCTCTTTCGTAATTTTAGGTATGTCATAGAAATGAACAGCATGCAATCAAATTGCATCAAGTGTTTTGTGTTTAGAATGGGAATCTGCAAATGATTTGATTGTTCCTAACCTAAGATTCCAAAGATAAGAACATGATATGCGAATAAAAAGAGGCTCTTACTGTTGCTGTGCAGCCAGGTCAATCTGTACTTCTGGCGGAGCAAGTGCAGGAGATTCCACAAAGTGAAGGTTAGGGTCCCTGAAATTGTTAAAGCAATCAACAATTTGTTCATCAAGCAAGCATTTGTTTACCACAACTTACAATGTATTATTTGCATTACCCTGCAAGTTTTCGTGCAAGGTACAAGAAAGGCTTCTCAAAATTGTAGTTGCTCTTGGCTGATATCTCATAGTACTGGAGATTCTTCTTCCTATGGAAGGTAACCTGCTTTGCCTTCACTTGCCTGTTCTTCACATCAACCTTGTTTCCACAGAGAACAATGGGAATGTTTTCACACACGCTGCATCCAAAACAGAAAAACATCAACGATTCCTGAACATTGGCACGGGAGACAATTTAAGGAAAATACACTAGACAGTAAGCAGATTTGATTTAACATACCGGCACAGATCTCGGTGCCATGTAGGAACATTCTTGTATGTCAAACGGGCAGTGACATCAAACATGATGATGGCACATTGACCATGGATGCTGCAGAATAAATTAGCAGAATTTTCATTAATATAACAGCAATGAACTCAATGTGACAACATCTTAGATGAGAAAGAAAATCTTATTTAATCAAAGTCCTTATGATTGCAACAATTAACTCCAACTTACACTTGACAGCAAAACACACACTAGAAGAAACCACAAGTTCATTCATAATCAATACATTCAGGTTACTTTCATAAGGGCCTTAAAATAAGAAAACCAAACAAACTGTTCGGACATAAGATCACATTCTAGCCTCCTAAAACTTTTCTCCTCTTAACTAGAGGAGAGAGGAATCAACTCAAATTTATGAGTTTTACTAAAGTGTCAAATTCCATCCAACCAAAATTACAACAATCCATGTTCAGATCAACAAGGCAGAAGAACATGATAATAGATGCTTAAGTTCAGGCAAATGTAACAACCATCTATGAGCAACAATCATCTACATTATTAATTCTTCAGTTTGTGAGGCAGATTTAATCAACGAGCAGATATTCCTCACAACTCAAATCCTACATGGAGATGATCTAACAAATTCACTTACTAATATCCATCTCTAAGACCACCAAATTTCTCCTGTCCAGCAGTGTCCCAGCAGTAAAACCGGATTTTCCCACAGTTAGTGAAGAAATCCAATGGATGAACCTCCACGCCAATAGTGGCTACATGAAGCAAACAGATTAAGTATGATCAACAGAGGCAAAATAAGCAAAAGAACATAGAAATGATAATCATTACTTACGTTCATATTTCTTTTCAAACTCTCCAGTGAGATGTCTCTTGACAAAAGTTGTCTTTCCTGGCACAGATTAAAAAATAACAAAACTAATCAGCTCATTCCAAAATGCATCCAACACCACTCAACCAAAACTGCTCGAGAAAGCAAAGATCAAGGAAAAAATCATTTTCTTTTTTGGAATATATAGTCTCACTTCCTTCAATAAGCCTTAATATAGCTTTAGAACAACAAACCCCAATAATCACGAAATCCCTTTCTACATGTCCAAGTTGGATTATCGCATTTACAAATCATGCAAACTGTCGATAAATATCACGTCTCTTCAACTCATTAATCCATTTCATTCTGTTCGAGACGATATTAATCGAGTCTAAGTTACATTGTCTCATCCACCAAGGCAAAAGAAAATTTTAATTCAACTAATCAAGGCCATGAAGAACACAAGAACGAAGAAAAAGAAGAGGCAATCAATTACCAGTGCCTCCATCACCGACGATGACGAGTTTGAAGCTCGGGTAATCGACGGTCGCCTGATTCGGTAAAGCCTGCAAACAAAACCGAGAAAAGATAAACAAATAAACTCCCGAAAGATAAAAGATATGAAAACCAAGATCCATAGAAACAAACGAAGAGAGAGGGGGGGGGAGAGAGAGAGAGAGAGGGCATACCATTAATTGCTAGTTGATGCGTGAATGAGAGGCTGACAGAGATTGAGAATCTGAGACTGTTCGGTGTTCTTCAGAGCAGAGCGAGAGAGAAGGGGACTGAGAGAAGAGACGGCGATAGGAGGGTTTAAAAGAGTGCGAGGAGGCGTTTTCAGGTTTCAGCGTTGGCGTTAAGTTGACGCAACTCTGCTCACCGTTGGATTCACTTACTTTTCCTCTTATTTCCTTTTTCCCACTTTGCTCTTTCACCGTTGGATTCATCCCGGATTCAGGACCAGACACGTGGCGTTCAATCCTTTTTTCCTGTAATTGATTTTTGATTTGTCTAAGGTGTGAGTGCAAGGAAATGAGGCGAAGGTGTGAATCCAAAACAAAATAATAATAATAATAAAAATTAAAAAAAAAGAAGATATTTTTGAAATTGTTTGTATGGAAAAAGCCGCGTTGTCGCTTAATTTCAAAGCAGAATTTAAAAATACAAAAATTAAAAAGAAAAAAAAAATGTGCTTAATTTCAAAGCGAATAGATGCCACATTTTTCGTATATTTAAATAAATGTGGGTCCCACTCCGGGATATGCAAAAGTAAAATTATCAGCCCAAGAATATACAGATTTATATTGGAAATTCTAAGTGATATTAGGCTGTGGTTTGAAATAATTAAATTAAAAATATATAATTTTATTTTTATATAAAAATTTATTAATATTTTTATTTTTTTAATTCGTATATTATATAAATTATTTAATAATTTAAATTTTTAAAAGCTCTATTTTTGTGTTGTTTTGAAAAAATTACCTTTTTGTGCTTTAATTATTCTATAAATATATATTTTTATAAATATTTATAAAACAAAAATTAAAAATATTTTTATGTAATAATTAATTCGAATGACAATTAATGAGTTAATAATTAATATATTATTTAAGAATTTTAAATTAATAAAAAAATAATAAATTACTATTTTTGTGATATTTTTATCATGCTCTCTCATTTTAAAGTGTGGTTTTTTTTTTTTATTTAACACCTAAATATAGACCAAAAATCATCCAATGCTCAAAATAAAATTATGGTAATTTTCAATCCAATTCAAATAAAAAATAATTTTCGCATTTTTTTGAATCTCTATATAGTCAATCAAATATTGTTAATATTGCAGTTTGTGTATACTACGAGATAAAAATATATTTTTAAATTATGCAAAAATACAATTAATTTTACTCAAATTTTACATCTATATTATAAATATATGACTATGTGAAAGTAGCATGATCATCATTAAAACAAACAACTAAAACAAAATGAAAAAAGGGTTTGTAAAATTATTACTATGAGTAACAAATGAAGAAGACAAACAAAAGCATAATCCTTTAGTACTCTATGAGACGAGCCCATTGAGTGTCACAATTGTCCATGGATAAGTATCGAATGAGATTGTTTGGGGTTTCAGCCTCTATAGTGGCACTGATATAAAAATAATGAGTCACACATACATATTAACTTCATAGAGAAGTAGTACTTTTATTATATTTTATATCAAATTGAATGACATATTTCTCTTATTTGTGAGAAGTCATATTGTTCTTTATCTTTAAAATAACAATTGTTAGGCGTGAGAAGAAAAAAATAAGAGAGATGAAAAAAATTGGGGGAGGGGGATAAATTCAAGAACAATTGAAATTAAACTTATTTGAAGTAAAAATAAAAAAAAAAATAACAAATTTATAGGCAAATATATAGTGGAATATGTATGATAAAGTGAAAAAACTGAAAGGAGATGGACAGGTGGACCGCCCAGATCAAAATCTCAAAATGAAGGGTCAAGATATTTTCCGTTTTAAAATTAGTTAGACTGTTGGGGACAGTTGGTGGTCTCAGTAGATTTCAGAGACCACTTTCACTTTTTTCTTATATTTTACTCTCATGCATGTGTAAATATTCCTAATGCTTTCACACAATTAACAAGGTAGAAAATTAAAAGCATTAAAATCCTATTTATACCCAGTTCGGTTTCTTACATGGTATCAGAGCTGTGCTTGTGATAAACACTGATTTCTCTGATTTCTACACTACACTATTACTCTACTACTCAGTGGCAAACCCTAATACATATGTGTTGACACTCTTAAACTCGGATAAGCCTAGAATGCAACTTGTCACAACTACCCTTAATGGCTCCAACAATTTGTATTGGAATCGAGCCATGGTGATTGCGTTGAGAACCAAGGACAAGCTCGCTCTCGTTGATGGCAGACGAAAAAAGCTCAAACCTGATGCAGTAGAATATGAACAGTGACATAAAACAGACAGCATGGTGGTGTCCTAGATCCTAAGCTCGATGAATAAAGAGCTTGCTAGCACCATCTTGTTCACTACATCAGTAAAAAACATGTGGGATAAAATAAAATAAAAGTATGGTGAAAGTAACGGGCCCGTGATGTATCAATTAAAATATGAAATAAGTTCTATCACGCAGTCTAACCTTTATGTCACAACTTATTATACAAAACTTAAAAGACTATGGGATGAGTTAACTCACCTAAGGCCCTTACCTGCTTGCACTTGCCATGCTGCAACACAACACAGTGAAATTGACAATACCGATAACCTGATCCAATTTCTAATAGGTTTTAATGACTCATACGACCATGTCAGAAACCAAATATTGATCATAGAACCTTATCCCCTGTGAACAGAGCTTATTCCATGGTAATTAGTGTTAAAAAACAAAGGAAAGTACACAATATCAACTCACTTGAAGGGACGCCCGCTGGATTTTATACCAACCTGAAAGACAATCTAAAATTTTCAAACCGAAAAAAGGAAAAAGACAACAGAACATGCACTTATTGTAAAAACACAGGGCATACAAAGGACAAATACTTCAAGCTTCAGTGCTACCTAGAATGATTTATAGAGCTCAAAGGGAAAAGGAACAAAAAAAAAAGCCAATGCAATAGCAAACAGTACCCTCGATGACACTAAAGCGGAAGCATCCAACACATATTGGGGCACAGAAATGGCCACACTCATACAACAAGATATTAACAAATACATGAAAAACCAAAGAGCAAACACAGTAGAGTCGGCAAGATGCATGGGCTACTCTGGCCCCACTAGTAAGCAACCTAAATGCTATTTTTTACATGCCTCTAATGATATAGGAACTTGGGTAATAGATACAGGTGTTATATCACACATATGTCATGATTTTAAAATGCTTTCAAAACACATAAAACTAGAACCTACAGTACTTGCCTCTCTACCAGACAGAACCAGGAGTCATTCAACCCACAAAAGAACCATAAAACTGTGTGATAATCTAATTTTGTAGGATGTCCTCTATATACCAAAATTCACTTATAACTTTATTTATGTCAGAAAGCTAACCCAAGCTTCAAATACTTATATTTCATTTCATCCCAACCATTATTTTGCGCAGAATTTGATAACTAACAAAATATTGAGGAAGAGAACAATAATGAAGGGCTTGTACACCCTGAGTGAAGACATAGACTCTAACAAAGCATGCATCAGCCACATCCAAAAAATAACCTATAACTATGGCACAAAAGACTCAGTCACACATCCACAAAAAAATTGATTCACATCCCCAATATAAAGTTATCAAACAATACAGCTTCACATGAATTGTGAAATATGCCATTTTGACAAACAACAATGCTTGTCTTTCCTTAAAAGTTCCATCAAACTAATGACATTTTTTCGTTGGGATACTTG